AAGATTCTGGGTTACGTCAGTTTTGAGTGAAGGCTGTGTCACATTCTGTGGCGAGCAGCGTCACCGCACAGCTCTCGAACCCACATCTCTAATCCCTGCTGCCTGCTAAATATAAATAAATAAAACTACGGTGGTATTCAATAACCTTTACATCCCTCACCCCATCAACCGCTGACAAGCCAACACATAAACGCTTATCTCCTCAGAACAACGGTGCACATTAGAATGATTGCATGGGCGCGGGAGGAGAGCTGGCCACAGTGGGCGCACTGGCAGACTCTCGGCAGACACACGGAAGAGGAAAAACAGTGGGATCAGGCCGAGTCAGACCGAGTCGGATTAACAGAAGCAAGAGCTGTATCGTAGCCTGCATTTCCTGACGAGTCAAAACGGTTCACCTTGAGAAAGACACCAGCTGAATCAAGTTTCCCGGCTGTTTTCCTCACTCCGCTGTTTCTGTTTCTCTCTCTCTGCTGGAATATTCCACGTGTTGCTGTAACAGCATGGTGTGCCTTTCAGTTTTCCCGGCAGTCATCCAAATTAAAACAATTATAGAGCTAATTGCCCGTTAGGTGGAGCCTGCCGGGGCGTCTATGCTCTGATTTGTAGAATCACTCATGCGGGTCCATCCTCCACTGTGATGGAGCCGCCTGGTCTTGATGGTGCCGGTGCTGGAGCCAGTGCTGGCCGATCGACAGGCAGATGGGCAGGGGTTGGCACAGGTGCCCACCGTGATGCAAATTAGGCCTGGCACTGGCGCGGTGTGAAGACTGTGACGCCGAGACGGCGTGCCATATGGAGCTGGAGCTGACCGCTCTGTTTAGCTGCATTATGTGTCTGCGCTCTGAGGTTTGTCAGATGGTAGCGGCGGTGCTGGGAACAGATGTACGTTTACCAGGCTGCCTCAGAGAGTGTGTTAAAAGAGAGACGAGGAGACGTGCGAAAAAGCATCAGTCTTTCATAAGCCTCACAGCGGCCATCCTACTAACCCTCCACTTGTAGCTCAGGGGAAGGTCCCGACAGCCCTGTACACTGCGATTTATTGATGGATAGTTGTATCTTACAGGCCAAAATATGACAAGGGAAAAGACAAAGAAATTAGTGAGGGAAGAGACAAGAGAGATCTGGGCTTGTAACCGAAAGCTTGCAAATAGTGGTCGACCAATACGGTTTTCAATGGCCGATATTGATGTGTAGATCATATATAGACATGCATTGACAAATGGTACACAGAATTGTAAAAACTACATTTACAATTACAATCAAATATGTTAAATAAAATTAAGAAATGAAATATTTTACCACCATTTTCTGTTTTAGTATTATTTAAAAGTATTTCCCAACCAGGGGGCCTCAGCAAACTTCCATAGGGCCCGATTTAAATTTACTTATGTTAACAATCCTAATGAAAATTATGAAAAAAACAAAAACAAAAATAAAGATTAAACTGACATCATATATATATATATAGGTAGGTGAGTTTGATCAGGGTTGGAGCTAAACTCTGCAGCGCATTGGACCTCCAGGGCAAGATTTGAGGAACCCTGGTATATAATATCACATGGCATTAACCTCCAATGAGGAACAGGAAAGTCTTGAAAAATAAACTCCCCTTGCTTTGGTTAGCTGGTGATACAGAATACATTACATTCAATATGACTCTGAACCAGTTCCCTCTTGAATGACAGAGATAAACAAAATAAAACAAAAAGAAAAGCATGCAAAACTCTCTCTGAGCCTCGCCTACACAAACTTCAACTATCGGGTTCGAGGACAAGTCGGTTCTTCTGAGGCTTAGTCCAAGGCCAACAGCAGCATCCGTTTCCCCATGGCCTGATTTCTACACAAACAAATGCCGATCCGCTGTTTAAGCTAGCATTGAAGCGGGTGGCTCGGTAATGACTGTACAGCCGCCCTATTATTCAGAGACACAGAGGAACCTCAAAGGCCTGCTCTAGCTCCCACTTCTCTAATATGCATCTGAAAACTCTTTTGTTCGGACCAGCGCAAAGGCTTATTGTAAATATCAATCCGCTGAACACAATGCTGAACGCCGGGGGGAGGGGGGGGGGGGGGGGGGGGGGAGAA